TTGGTAAGGACTTGCACTCACGCGACAGGCCCAGCAGGAGTCTGAAAAGGAGATGTTTTGTGTGTTGTCAAAGACTTGTAGCTAAGCCTTCTTGGAGGACTGCTTGTACGTTTGCATATTTGCTGGCCCAACTTCCTTGTAAACAGGGAAATGTCCGGCACCTTTCCCTTTTCTTGCATCCTTCACTGCATGTGCTTCGAATGATCTGAAGCCAAGTCGTTGGCTGCGCCATGTTGGTTCATGTTTCGCGAAAGACTGCAAGGCCCCATGCGGTAGGTCCAAGAAGGGGCATTCCCGGCAAGCGCAGGGCAAATGAATTTCATTGCTTTCACTAAAGCGGCAAGGTCTGCAAGTACAAGTGAATGCCATTGTGGCATTGAGTGGCAGGATGACAGTTGCATGGAATGATCGGAGGGTCCTTGTTGGAGGGAAGTGGCCTTCCAAAACCCGCCGGTCAGGTTCCAGGATAGCGTGTGGACGGTTACATCACCCGTTTGGGAGTCTGGGTTTGGTTTTTGGTTGGTGTCCCTCCTCCCAACCACCACATTCTCCTCCAAGCCCAAAAAACCCAGGGAGCGGACGGGGGGGGCACGGGGGATGGGGCGAAGCACCTCCCTTGTGAACACCTGGTCTGTTCGACAGGTGGTTGCGCTGGAAGACTTGGGCGAAGGTCGCTCTGGCCCAGTGGCCTTGGAGAATCTCGGGGGACCTGCCAAGCAGGCGGGATGCCGAATCGGCAAGCTCGATTTGCCCCGATCATTGCTTCAGCTCGCCAGGACTACGGTCCTTGTAAAGTTCATGGCCATGGGTCAAAACCGCGTACCCCCAGTGAACATCCCAACCCCCACTAAAATAGACTAAATTTGGTGGCGCACCTACCCCAAAATGGGATCGTACTTTACGTTTTGTGGAGTTTCAAGGTATGACCCGCTTCCAGAGTGCCAAGTTGGGGGGAAACTGGGAACCTCGGAACTCAAATGGGCCCAGAATTAGCTTGCCAATTTTACATGTTCCATTTGGTCTGCCTTCGTTGTCCCTCAACAGCAAAAAGTGAATCTTAGGGGGTCCAAGTCTGGCCCAGTTGTAGAGTGCCAAGCTGGAGGGGGAGGGCTGGAACTCTTAGTCAATCCAAATGCTTGAGACATGGGTGTCTTTTCAGGGACCCTTGTCTGGTGGTTTGGATAAATAAAGACATACCCAAATGACTTTGTAAGATTTAGCATGTTGGGAATCCCGTTCTCCGTGGTTGCAGCGCGGTTGCTTAGTTATTTGAGAATTCAGCAGAGCTTCTCAACGAAGTACTTTGTCAGTAACACGAGCTGAGCCAGACAAGAAAGAAGAGCTCGCCGTTCATGGACAACGAATGAAACGTAGAAAACCCAAATCATGTTTAGTCTACTTGAGCGAGTGCAAACTGTGTCAGTCATTTCCGTAGCGGAACCCTCAATGTGTTTGCACACCCATTGCAAGATAATTTTAAAATTACCCTCCCGCAACAACATATCTAATCCACTTTTCGTACTAGGAGCTTCTAGGTAGTCACTAAGGCTTTCAATGGTTGCAGTGGTTGTGAAATGGGTTTCCAACCAACCTGATTGCAATGTGTTTCAACCACAATCGACACCTGAGCACACGCATCAAATTCCGGTTGGTCAATTCAGCTAAGGGTTACACGTGCTGCGGGAACTATAGCGCTGGCGTGATGTCTCAAATTGTGCCGTGTCTTGGGGAAACAGGTCACGTGGGTAACTCTGCAGGTGGTGCCTCTTGAGGAGCTGGGGGACTCCCGAAAGGCCGGGGCCTGTGATTTGGAGCTGGAACCCCTACGCAAAGCATCCGATCTCATTTTTCAGGACCTCAAACAATATACGGATCTGCAGGGCTCAGGTTTGGCACCTGCGGCTTTTCACCCCAACGGTTTTGGATCCCTAGCAGGCTGATTGGGGAAAGAGCTCATGGTTGACATGATTCACATGGTTCACGAAGGGAGCACATTTCCTCGTTGCTGTGAAAGTGACCAGAGACCCGTGAAAAGGTTTGACCAGGGTGGGACACTCCAGAACGTGTGGACAATTAGAGGTGCCGCAGCTGCGTAGGGCACGTTCAGATGGAAACACATCTACAAATGCAAAGATGGACGTGCAACGACAAACCCACATACACTCAACCAGACAAACCCGGCACAACCAGACAAAACTAGACATGTGTGCATATGAATATATATATATATATACACATACACATATTTATGGTATCCCCCGCCCCAACAGAAAAGCCTGTAGCCATATATCACCGACATCAAAGGGGTTTTCTTCATGTTCCGGGTCTTTGGGGAAAGAAGCAGCAAAAAGGCGCAATTCGAAAGGCAAACTGGAAGCTTGAGGCTCTGCACAACACCGAATAACCAGTCTCTGAGGAGAAGGTATAGCTGGCTGACATTCTTCCTGAGGAAGTTGTTGTTCCCCCCCACACCCTCCCCCCCCCCCCCCGCGGTTGTTCGTTTTGTTTTTGGGTTTTCGGTGTTTCTCGGCTGGCTCATTGGCATGCTGATGCTCTTTACTCTGACTGCTTTGGGTACTCTTTAATGGCTCTAGCAAGCTTTTTGTTTGAGGAGTAGTTCCCTGATCAAAGCGATAGCCTTTTGCTGTTGAAGGGAGGAAAGCCAGAAAACAAAAAAGCACATTTCGCTCAAAAGGTGGTTTTTGGGGTGGTGCCAAAACACGCGCTTGGGCTACAAAGACAAAAAGTAAAAGGCCACGGCGGCCACGGCAGCAAGAAAGACACCAACAGACACGCGGAAATCAGGAGAGAGAGAGAGAGAGAGGGGGGGAAGACAACAAAGATGCAAAGAGGGCAAGCAAACGGGCAGGCAACCAGGCAACAAGGCCAGCCGGCCAGTAGGCATTCATGAACGCACGCATGCTTGCAGGCAAGCAAAGGGATGTGAGGACAGATACAAACTCACATATATATATATATATATATACACAGCTGTGCGTACGCACGCGCACATACACACACACACACAGAGAGACACACACACACACACGCACGCACGCACGCACGCACGCACGCACGCACGCACGCACGCACGCATGCACGGACGCAGGCAAATGTACACACAGAGGCACGCGAGAGTGCAAAGTGCGAGCCATTAAAACCCCGCTGTGAAATATCCAGTTGTTTGGATGCCATTGCTTCTGCTCATCTAGGGCGTGTGTGCGCGTTGTGAATATGCTTGAGTGAACGGCCTGAGTTTAGATGTTTTATTTGTTGTTCCATGTTTTGTTCGTTACATTCTGTGTGTGTGTGTGTGTGGCTGTGTAGATGTGTGGATGCATGTGTGCGTATGTTTTCTGGTAGCCCTCCCCACAAGCGTCTCTTGGCACGCAGGCGATATTTTGCTCTTACTCTATGCGCATGTTGCTCCGTTTCCGGCCCATGGAAGACGTATTTGAATCGGCCAAGCTTTTCAGAATTCTTTCAAGGCCAGAACTCAGAGCTTGCCGTGTCCATTTAAAGCAGCCGAAAAGCAGCGCCCTCAAAAAGCCAGACTCTGCGCGGAACCATGCTGGGTGCTAAGTGCTAAACAGCATTTGTTAACATTCAGAGAGGGACACCAAACACGGGATGGATCAGAATGATTTATTCATAGCATTTCCAGAATCCCCAGAATCCGCTCCCAGGGTTGCCGTTGTCCTTGGGTAGGCAGGGTTCCATTTTGGTTGTTGTTTTCACAAAAGGGAACCTCTGAAATACGTATTTTGAGGGTCACCTTTTCACCTTGGTTTGAAACACACCAAAAGGACCACCGATGCCATTTTTGGGGTCTCCTGGTGAACCGCATACAAGGCAGACTTGAAGGGGTTGTTGATTTAAGAGACTAACTGTTGGCTTTAAGTCTATCCTAAAAGTGGAGCCCTAGGCTTCCCTTGGCCGCTTGGCTCCAGGTGGTGACCCTCGAGAGCCTCGGCAACGTGGACTCGGAGGCTCCGCCGCCCGCGGTGAAGCGGAGCATGCGGAGACGGGCGACCAAGGAGACGAAAGAGCTCACGGAGGAGTCCGAATCGCACAGGTTCCATGGAGAGTCCACCAAGGCTTCGATGGTTGATTCGACCCATTGAAAGTTTTTAGTTGAAGATCAACCCAAAGACCGTTCTTATTTGTTTGCTGTAACTCCAGGGGAGTATCAGCTTCCCTCTAATTGGTGGTTTGGAGGTTAGGTGAGGGTTTCCCATTTACCCAGTAATTGCGAGAACCAGGGGTTCAAATCCCCACATCACCACTCCAAACTACACACAAATCCAAACATGTAGCTGACGTCCACCTAAGGACGGAAGTACCTCAGAAAAACGATTGGGCTACATACAGAAGCCGCAGAGAAGAGCTAGTACGAGATTTGGAGCTTGGAGACAGTAGTAAACTTTCTTTTCGCAAGGGTCCAATTCCCATGGGTTGGTGATTCCTGACAGAATCCGGCGGGCTGGGGGCTGATTATACATATATATATATACTATTCATATGCGCGTGTCGTTTTCTGGGAGACCGGTGGTTTGATGTTGGTTTCCCTTAAAACCATAAAAAAAAGGTATCCTCAAGTCCATACATATATATATATATATACGTATGTGTGTGTGTGTCTCTGTGTGTGTGTCTCTGTGTCTCTGTGTCTCTGTGTCTCTGTGTGTCTGTGTGTCTGTGTGTCTGTGTGTCTGTGTGTCTGTGTGTCTGTGTGTCTGTGTGTCTGTGTGTCTATGTGTCTGTGTGTCTGTGTGTCTGTGTGTCTGTGTGTCTGTGTGTCTGTGTGTCTGTGTCTGTGTGTTTGCGTGTTTGTGTGTTTGTGTGCTTGTGTGTTTGCGTGTTTGTGTGTTTGTGTGTTTGTGTGTTTGTGTGTTTGTGTGTGTTTGCGTGTTTGGGTGCTTCTGTGTCTGTGTGTGTGTGTGTGTGTTTGCGTGTGTTTTGCGTGTTTGTGTGTTTGTGTGTTTGTGTGTTTGTGTGTTTGTGTGTTTGTGTGTGTGTGTTTGTGTGTTTGTGTGTTTGTGTGTGTGTGTCTCTGTGTGTGTGTCTCTGTGTTTGTGTCTGTTTGTGTGTGTGTGCGTGTTTGTGTTTGTGTTTGTGTGTTTGTGTGTGTGTCTCTGTGTTTGTGTGTGTTTGTTTGTGTGTGTGTGTTTGTGTGTGTGTGTGTGTTTGTGTGTGTGTGTGTGTGTGGGTGTGTGTGTGTGTGTGTGTTTGTGTGTGTGTTTGTGTGTTTGTGTGTGTGTGTGTTTGTGTGTGTTTGTGTGTGTTTGTGTGTGTTTGTGTGTTTGTGTGTTTGTGTGTGTGTGTGTGGGGCGACATGCAGTGATTTCAGGCTTGCTTTTGAGCTTTGAATTTGGAAAGCAAGCCTTTTTGGCCTGTTTTGGATTGAGGGCTTGCCGTTTGAGACTTTGTTTGGAAGGGATCCCTTTGGGGTCGGATTCGACACTTTCGGGTCCTTTGTGTTTATGAAGTTGGGGGTGAAAAGGCAAACCCTTCTTCAGCGGACAGTGTTGTGCATTGAATTGGTGAATGTGGGAAGCTGCCAACATTTTAGAGAGTCGTTCGGCGACAAGGACATGACCATAGTCCGTCAGTACCCATGCGCAACGCACCTGTTGCCTTCCTGAACTTCTACGAGCCCCGAAAAGGAATGTCCCAAAAGATCACTTTGCTTCTTTGGTTCCGTCTTAGATTTTCAAGGGAGTATATATTGTTCCGGGCATGCGCCCGGGGCAAAAGAGGACCTTTGTATGAGAGTGTGTCAACCTTCAAGCTGGTGGTCATGTCAGTTTGGAGTTTCCTGTTGAGGACAACGGCAGACAGTGACACAAACAAATAGTGGTTCTTGTGTGACCACGTCAAGGAAAGCGCATATTTTTTGGGGGATGCCAGTAAATAGGACAAACGGTGTGGACCCCAAAACAAAGCTCCACATTGCCAGGAATCATGAGACCACTTGGGTTTAGGCTTCATTGGTCCTGAGGCGATTTTGCCGGTTTCGGCTTCACAGTATCAGGTAACCCTTAGTTGGTGATTTGGATTTGTGGTTTGGGGATTTGAGCCGCTGGTTCCGGAGGGTAAAGGGAAACCACCCAATCTTCACCTCACCACCAAGAAAAACCTGTCCAGACCACCAGGCTCCCAACCGATTTGAGAGGGGAACTGATCAGCGAGTACCACCCTGGCCTTCCCGGGTGACGTCCGCTTTTAGGAGAAGGTGCCGCAAGAAAAGACCGAGCACGAGCAGCTGATTGAGCAGTTAGAGGAGGATGAGCTCGAGGACTCCGCGGAAAAGCACAACCCGGGGGGGGGGGGGGAACTTGCGGGTTCAAGGCCTTCGGGGGTCTTCGATCCCGCGTTTTCTTTGTGACATATATCAATATATCTATATATATATGTGCATGGGGGGGGGGAGGAAATATGGAACAGAGGCAGAACATGGCAGAGTCAACACAAATTGATGTTCTGTACCCCAGATGTGGGCCAAGTGGTGGTGTTTGGCAGGCCTTCCAGAAGCAGGACGCCGAATTCCGGTGTTGGGTAGTTGCGGACTGGTTGAATGTCCGGAAGGTGTCCTCACTTCCTGAGTTCCAGCCTAGTGGCAAGCAACAAACCGTTTGGGCCGGCATGTTTTTTGCCAATCCGCTCGATCGGAAGTGAGCATTTCTCGAGGCGCATCGGCCAACTACCAGGAGTAACCTCAGCTGGGGCTTACTCAGATTCGGATCAGAAACAGAAACTGTTTTTTTTGCAGGTCCAACAAAATGGCAATTGACGGAGCCCGGACATTTGATTGGCCCTGTCCCAAAAGGACAAATGGATCCTGACCGGGTTTGCTGGATGTTTGTGTTCGAGGTCACGGCGCAAAAGACGCCGAAGCTTGGGAACGCCGGGAACGTGTTGTTTTTCCGTCTCGTGGCTTGCGGTTATCCCAAAGTCCTGTTTGGCCTCCAGAGCCAAGCATATGCCTTCCATTTGCTTACGAATATTTTTGTTTATTATAAAACCCTGTTGGTTTTAAAGGGAATCTATCACTACTGGAAATAGTTGTTTTTTTCTTCCAGGGGTCTTATCCAAATGGAGGATGCGTGTTCATTGCCAATCATGCCCACTCCCAGCCCATCTCCTTTTTGCTTAATGCTACAGAGTGTTTTCTCCACAAGCCAACAGTGGCAGTGTGGTTGCAGTCTTTGTTACTGCGGGGATTCTTTGAAGTTGTTTCTTGGGTGTCTTCCACTCACTGGCGCCCGGACCGATGCCAGGACGAGGTCAAGGAGCACGTTCGGATTTTACTTTCCAGCTGGGCACTGGCCAACAAGCAGGAGACGGTGGACGGGGCGTCCAAATGGGTTTGTGCGTGTGTTTAGGGGACCCCAAACATGCAGTCTCCTTTAAACCACCCCCCAAAAGGGTGCCCTCCAAACAAAAACAAACACACAATTGAACAAACACTGAAACGATGGGTTCTTGTTGGTTTCCTGTGTAAACAACCCATGGGCCACCATGAAACTAAAGCACACTCACATGGAGGTATGTTTTTCCCTCCCAACAAAAATGTATGGAATCTGACAGAGGCCTGCATTGACCCCTAATTACTCGGGCCCAATGGACCAGAATGGAGGCAAAGGACTGTACGTTTCTGCCTACGTTATAGCGAGCTCACCGATTCGGGAGGGTGGGTGAAGGGGGCAAAAAACGGCGAGAAAACTTAAGTTGCAGGTCCTATATTTTGGGATATCCCATTTCTGTTGTTGTTGGATAGTCGCCTGTATCAGGTTTCGGAATTGTTGAACATGCGACGATGTGTTGGGTGCACCATGCTTGAGTTACAGGGGAGGCTATGTTGTAGGCACCTTCACAAACCATTGTTGGAGGACAATTTTCCAGCGATTCTTTCTAGGTTCGCAAGGTTTTTTGTTTTTTTTTGGTTGGATCGTTTTATTTCAATCTTGACATGCTTTTGCTTGGCTGTGTATAACTCCAACCCGGTGGGTTCGTTTGATTTCTTCCCGTTGCTCAAGAATACGATTAATTGCCCCTGTTAGTTTTAACGGGAATCTATCACTACTGGACTTTTGTTTTTCTCCAGGGGACTTAGCAACTGAAAGATTATAACCGAATCTCGGTGCTGATCAAGCGTTGCGGCTCGGCAGCTTCGGGGGAAAGTTGGAAGCTAACGATTTGTGCTATGCTATGACACTGACCGGCGACACACGGATTATGTTCGAGTCCATCCAACTCATTCCTGGTTTTCGCTCGTCGTTGTTGTGTCCATGTTGGCTTGAGTTGGCTTACGACCCGCAATATCTCCACGGATATGTACAGACGTTTGTAGGTCGTGACATCAAGCTACCACGATTCGGGATGGAATTTCCGAGGCTTGCTTGGCAGAATTCCTTAGGGCAGAGATCCTTTCATGGTAATCGACCAATGGCACCCTTCTTTGCTTGCCTAATGTTGACCCTTGACCTAAGTAGCACCCGTCCTATGTTTATAAGGGGGCGTTCCCTCAAGTGACGAATCTCCACTAAATGTGAACACCCCTCAATCAAAATGAGTTAGGGGTTTACGAATCCGGAGTTCCCATAGTTGGCTTCCTTCCATGCAAGAACGCTCATAGTTCGGATGAATCGGTGATCTCATGCTCGGACTTCATTTGCTGCGGGGCTAATGTTGAGACACCCCCTCTTTCTTTGTTAAAGCGAAACCTCAGAGGAAGCCAGCCATTTTTCAGATTCCATTTTGAGAGCGAAACCCACAGTAGCAAGCCTTTTTAAGGGCCTTGTCCAAAGCTCAAAAAGCGCCTTTTTGATGTAGATCCACCTATAATTTCCCTCGAAGTTGGTTTCAACTTCACCTGTTCGTTGGCGCTTTAAAGTGAGTTTTCTTTTTTGGAGGGGTGATGTTTAAGGAGGCTATATATATTTACATAGGGAACCCTGTTTGGGGGGGTCCTAATTTTGAGACAACCCAATTACGCGGCTGTCAGCTTCAAAAACGCCTCTGTCAGGAGCAGGAGGCGGTCATGAAAACCGAGGGCGAGGAGGACGCAAGAACTCATGGCCGTTTGGGGCCCCCTAACGACATGGTTGTTGTTGGGAAACAGTTTTTACATTTAAAAGTGTTTGGTGTACATTTTTGCGGATTGTGGTTTAGTGGTTGAAATCCAAATCCACTTAACTGCTAAAACAATAAATAGTTTTTTGCTCCCCTTCCAACGTCAACCGAGAAGATGGGTGTCTGTTTTGGGGGGAGCTGTGTTGGGGTCGGTGCCACAGGCAAGCCAAAGGGAAGCCCCCTACTTTTCAGACAAAGATGTAATTGGGCGGGCCTCGGACCCTAAAGGAGCCAAAGAGGCTGAAGTTTCCTGACGAACGAAAGTGCCCCAATTCAGGGACTCACTCCTGCAGTTCCCGGACGTAGACTATGCTTTTTGGGAAAACGGTTTAGTGGAGAACGAACCGTTTGAACCTTTCTGGACCAATCCACTCAGGAAGTAGGGGGACGTACCCATATTCCTTCTGTCTTCCCCTTGCGACTGGGTCGTCACTCATCCCCTCGATGTATGGAGGGAGGTTTGCTGGGAGCGAATTCAGGATACTCATGAGTCGTTTGGAGCAAATTGTAGTGACCCGCAGAATGGGATGAACAGCCTCATGAGGGCCTTTCCTTGTGAACGTAGGATCACTGCCACAACCCTCCAATCGCGCACCGTTGGCTGGCCCGCTTTGGCGCTCGTCGGCTGAACCCTGACAATAGCGGGAGCTCCAGGGAGAAAATCGATGACCGGCTGCTTTGCCAATCCCATGTGACCCGCCAACTTCCCTAGGGATAGGGATATCTTCCCCAGCTCCCATGAACAACTATAAATGTTCCTTTGGTTTTTTAAAGGGTGGTTCCCTAGTCTTCCCTTAAGTACCTGCTATACTGGAAAATGGAATCACTGGACTCGTTAGCCCCACCGGAAAATTCAAAAAAAATTGCAGCACTGCCCGATGAAGCGAAGAAATCAAGACTCATGCCCCATGGTCCTGAATCGCTGAGACGACGTGCATATCCTAGGATCGAGATCTTAGATCCAAGGGTGTCCCTATCAGGATCCCTTGGATATTGCGCTCTGGGAAGTCACCCCAGATAAAACGGTGTTACTTTGGTTTATCTTGGGTACTTTTGCCAGGGTGTAGTCCCAGAGTATAGTAGAAGAATAGGAGCATCCTTAGATTAGACAATCATTCTCATGATTCCACGTAATCATGAGAATGTGGTTTGCTAGAATTATTGACCCTGGCTGTGTTGCTTGTGTCATGTGTGTTCCCCTTTTTTCAGGCCCTGCGGTAACTTTGCGCCTCACTGCGAAAAGCTGAGCAGTACACGCACATGCGTAGTCTACAGACATCTTATGACACTGAGTACATTGTCCTTAACCGCCAGTATACAGCATTATTGAACAGTTCTGGCCACTGAATGCAGCACCAAAACACAGGACGTTGCATGCTTCTCAATGTATCAGCCGCTTGAATGTGCAAGCTTCTTCCGTTTCGTGGGGTTCGGGTTGTGCCGAATTTTCCGACCTGGCAAGTAGCTTGGAGCTCCATACTACAATTTGCAGAATAATATTGTATCTATATCAGAGCCTGCACCAGATGACACAAGACACATTAAGGAAGTCCATGGTTGTATAAGATGGTGGGTTGAAGGTTGCCGCTTTCTCTGAGAATTGGAATCGCGTTCAATTTAAATTAAGTAGTTAAATGGTCATAACATGGGGGGAACTGACATGTCACAACCATGTTTTGGAACTGCCGATACAACTGTTCACTACTTCGGTGTTCGGCCAAGATGCCAGTAATCTGGGCTATGACCCACTTGTCTGCCTCCGTAAGCGGAGTTAACCCTGTTATTTGTGGGTTACAACCAAAGTGCTAGCCACTTTCTAGCTTGGCCGAACAGCCATAGACAGCTTCTGAAGCTTCAGCCGTTCGGCTAGGAGGATGAGGATGACTGGCCGCTGACGACCATGCAGATCGAAGAGAAGAAGAAGAGCAGATGGGCCAGGTTCGGTCAGCACAATGTGTGGCAGTTACTTCTAGCTGGGTGTGTCTGTGTGTGTGTGTGTTTTTTTTCTCCGGAGTACCATTTTCTGGGATGGCTTACAGGGAAACCAAAGAGAAGCCACAGATGTTTCAGGTTTTCCTGTTGTTGAGCCACTCCCAGCTAGAGCTGCATGCATAAAGGGCGAGTTTTTTGAAAGCCGGGCAGCCAGTGACTGAGGGGCTTCCGTTTTTGGGGGCATTGCCATTGGATCAGTGAACCATGGTTCTCCCTTTCATGATGCGAGCAACTGAGTCGGGGCTGAAACGAGCTAACTATGACTTAAGTCCTTATTTTGGGGGTTCCTTATTTCAATATAGCAATCAATTAGCACAAGGACTCCCGATTGTGGCCCGTGTATCCATTTCCTGGTTGCACTCTTGTACCTATGGCTTGGGTGTGCTGACTGATTGTTGTTCACTATCTCGCTTCCTGAGATGTTGGACTTTAGTCGCTTTTTTGCTTTGAACCATTTTAGTGGCAAGCAAACTGTTTGTCTTTTTTCGGGCCAATCCACTGGATCGGAAGCGGGCTGTATCGTAACATTTGCAGATAGCTGCTGGAGTTGACCTAGGGTGAACCTGCAACTGGGCTGGACCAAGTATGGGGAGCCCCTCAAATGCTGGTGTTCTTTTTGGTTTTTCTTGAAAGCCAACCACTGTTCCACACAGAACGACGCGTGTCGTTCTGTGTGGAACAGTGGTCAGTATTTGAGGGGCTCCCGCCCTCCCGCAAAGGGATGGGCATTTTCCATCGAGGAAAGACTCAAAGGTTCCAGAGTGATACCCTGCCACAAAATGTGACCATTGTTTTTGTTGGGGAGGTGAAGTATGGCGCAGATTTTAGGGTGACGACCTTCAGCGTTCCTCTCAAATTCTTGAAAGACCCTTTCTGGCTTGGAATGGTGGGCCCTTCAGAGTCTTTGGAAAATCAATCGGCGAGTTCCTCCAAGTCCCATCTGGAGTTTTGACCATGGCGCATGTCCGGTTGCTTTGCCTTTGATTTTTGACAGGGATGTGCCATGGCCAAAGGACCCTGGGGTTGGTGGGGTTGGTCATGAACCCTCAAGGGACAACAAGCAACAGGCTTCAACTAAGGAAACCTGACCGAGGAGTGTTGACGGAGATGGGTGTTGCCTGGGATAGGATACCCATCCAACCTAACATAGGGGAAAGGTGCCTGGAAGACACGTTTCCTCGAGGGACTGTCAGGTGCCATGTTACAATAGGTGTCCTTTTTAGGTTGGTTGGAAGTAGATGGTGCTGGTTTCATACGCCCCATTTGTCAGGAACCCCATCTATTTTACCCCCAGTTGCCCAGTGGTGCCCTTGTATCTTTCTTTTTTGGGGGAAGGGTTCCCCTTTAAAGTCAACCCAACAAAAACGGATGCCCGTTGTTTTTTTTCTCCCATGGCCACAAGGACACCAAATGACACCTGTGAGCTTGGGGTATTGCCAGGATGAAGGGCGGCATGAAGGTGCCCAAGATGCACCTCGCCAGCTTCGAGGGCTGGAAGCGGGGCTCCGGCGAGAAGAAGACCGTGGAGGAGGCGCGGGGCATGGGCTGGTGAGCATCGGCCTAGAGAGTTGGAACCTGACAAGTGGTTGCTGGAACCCCCGAACCGAGTGAGCAGTTTTTGTTTTTTTCGTTTTTTTTGGTAAAAGTGTTCATGGCTGTATCTTCACTGTTGGAGTTGTGGTCCTAAGGGCAACGGTCATTGCAAACTAGCGCATTTATTGAATTCGTGGACTTCAGTCGCTTTCTGGGAAGACGTTCTGGCAATCCACTCGATCGGAAGTTGGGTGCAAGCTCTCGGAACCCGCACATGCGAACGTTACACCGTTAAGCCGTCCAGCGCGGCGCATCCGGTGACCCTCGCATGAGAGCCTTCGCATGAGAGGCACCGCCCTGGACCCAAGCCTCCCAAGCCCCGAGGATTCAATCGGCAAGGGCGCAAGAAGGGCTCCGATTAGAGGAGCTTCCTCTCAGGGGTGCTTTTTTAAGGGTTCCATGTGAGAATCTGCGGGAGAACTCGTAGCTTTCGTTTTTGGGGGAACATCCGGTTGCCTCCGGCCGTGGGGATGATATGGTGGCTCTTCAGGCTGGCACAGTAGAGGAGGCGACCGAAGAGACGGTGCAGGCGTTGCTAGGCGCGTGGCCCGCGGGTTGGGTGATGTCTGGCTGAAGAGCTCGGCTGTCTGCATCTTCAAGGGCCCGACACCCAAACAAAGGCGTACGCCACAAGACCTCAAGTCACAAGATCTTGGGTTTTCTAGTCTAGTTGAAAAGCACCACAGGAAGCTAGGGTGTTGGGGAATGAGCCGCGTTAGGAACATGGAGCAATCAAACGTGGGCAAGTGAAGGTTGACGCCCAAATGAGTGCAACAAGAAGCCCTTTTGATACTTGATTCTAGGTGGACCCTTTACCATGTGTTGATTGTGACTCACCTGGGCAATCAGCTTACCCTGTTTTTGATGAAATGACCGCCATAGTGTCAAACCATCTTGGAATGGAGGGACTGTCAACAGAGTTGTCTTTGGTGAGGGCCGGGAGGGTCTTTATCGACCTTGACCAACCCCCCAAACCCCCCCACAACCACCACACCATGGGGAAGCTAACACATACGACACACACACACACACACACACACACGCACCACTCCCCCTCTTTTTCTGGCGCGTGAGGCAGCAAGGTGCCCTCCACCTACGCGGAGATGTTTGAATTCAATGCCACCGTCATGGGCTTCGGGAAGCACAAGTGGCTACCGGAGGCGTTTTGTCGGGTTCGGGTTGCCATCACAAACCAATGAGCCTTCGGTTTAATCCTTTAAAACCATGACGAAGGGTACCCTCCAAAAAAGAGACGCCCAAATCCGTTTCAACCACCAGTTGGGTTTGATGGCTTAAATCCACCATCCGCAGGGGTGAAATGCGTTCCGAAGTTGTTTTTGTCCATCCACAGGGCCAGAGCTTTTTGTTGAATGTGCGAGATGTGCCTCAGTTGCGCCAGTTGTTGCGTCTCACGTGTTTCATTCTTGGTCTAGAGTTTTCTCAGTGGCGCGCAGCTTTATTATCGCTTGGTTTTCTGCCGATGAGAGACCCAACAATGGGCTCCTGCCCTTTGCTACAGAGTGTCTGGGCTTGGATGGGCGTAAATGGGCTTTGCTTGGGCTGTATGGGTTAGTTTGGCAGCTTTACTGTTTACTCAAGGCGAGACAGTCGATGCCTGCTGATGCCTTTGCATGCATGCTGTGTCAGTAACATTGAGGCGCTGTATTCCAGACGGCAAAGACTTTGACAGCCAATCGTTGCTGCCGACAAGTCCGATTTGGAGTTGACTCACTTTCAACCTTGGGAAGATTGCTGTTTCATTCCTTCGCGCAGTTTCAAGCACCACTCCATTCAGCTCAAACCTGCTAGCCCTGTTTGTTGCCTCAAGACTATCCTCATTTGACACTTATGGCTTTGCAGGGAGAGAACAGACGGCCTCTGCTTTTGGGGCACTTCTACCCAAAGGGAGGAAAAACGGGGACAGGAGTGCGGTTGGCGTGGCCAAGGCATCCCGTAACTTTCTGCCAGACGTCCTATCCTCTTCAAAGGGATTACTTTCCCAAGAGGATCAAAGGAGGAAATACGCCCTGGCTGAAACCGCAACTTTGGCTCGAATCCACAGAGTGAAACGGTCTTGTGAAGCCATCGCCGAATTCCCCACGCAAGGTGTTGTTGTACGTCGTTTGGTGTTTTGCAGCAAAGGCCAGGAAGCCTTGTTTTTGAAGCTGCCAGGGAAACAACTCGAATCCACGAGGGAAACCACCAGGAAATCCACAACATTTGAAGCTCCCCCGGGTTTGTGGCACAACGCTTCTGCATTTTTATTTTTTGGTTTACCTG